TCTCCTCCTCTCTCTCTCTCTCTCTCTCTCTCTCTCTCTCTCCCCTCCTCAAGGGAGGCGATTAAGCTGCCCCCACCCTTCCTCTCTTTTCTCCCCTTCTCTCCCTCTCCCTCTCTCCTCTCCTTTGAAGGGGATGGCTTGGGCACCCCTTTCTCTCTTCACTCTCCCTCTCTCTCTCTCTTTCTTTCTTCTCTTCCCCATTTCTCTCTCTCTCTCTCCCCACCTCACAAAGGGGACAGCTAGGTCGGTCTCATTTTCTCCCTCTCTTTTCCCCCACTTCTCCCTTGTCCCTTTTCTCCTGTCCTCTCCTCTCCCCGCTCTTCTCTCTTTCTTCTCTATTCTCCCTTCCCCTATCTCTTCTTCCCTATTCTCTCTTCTCCTTTTCCTCTTCTCTCCCATCCCCCCCGTCTTTTCTCTTCTTCTCTTTCCCCCTTCACTTCTTTTTCTCATCTCTCTCTTTATCTTCTTGACCTTCTATCTGATTACTCATCACCGAGTCTCTTCGAGAGTGAGGTCTTCTGATGGGACTTGACATAGTCTTACCCACGCCCTCATTCTTTTGATTCCTCGAAGTTGCAGAGGCCTTCTAGGCTAGGACCTTTTGGATAGGCTCGAGTGAGACGTCCTACGAGAAGTCGATCATAGATGCTATCTAATTGGTTGTTGATCCCTTTTGCTCATCTTCTTCCACTTCAGACTTCTTTCTTATTCATTCTCTTTATATTCATTCATCTTGACCTCTCATTAGGGAGCTCTTTTGCAATGACTCATTGTCGGGCTTGACACACAGACGTCACTTTCTTGAATCCTTCAGGGTATTTAGGCCTCGTGCCTAATACCTTTTCGTGCACCTAGTAATACCTCTTAGGGGAGGTCACTTTGAAAGGCTGCTCGATTCTAGGGAGGTCACCCTTCCTTCTTCTTCCTTATCTTCTCATTTCACCCCTTCATTAGCCCAACACTCTAACCATCCGTTCTAAACCTCTATTAAATCACTTTCCTTCTCTAACCCATAACCTCGACCACCCTTGGACGATCCAAGGGCAATTCGATCCTAGACACCATCAAAGAAAGAGTGCGAACATCCGAGAGCAGTAGTGAACTAGAAAGGGAACAAGCTCCAAACCATGTCGAGAAGGTTGGGGAGCTTTCGTGCGACTGATCTAAGAGGGCCCACATGGGTCCGGCGTTTCCACGAACCCAACCTGCAATGAGGTAGGCCCATGATCCGCCCTTTGCTGCGTAAAATCCTCCCACTCACTGGTACACCTATCCGCACCCACATGGGCGTGCACGCGCTGCACACGCGTCGTGCTTTTCGATAGGGCGATCTTGAGTCGGGTCCCAAACCGGGTCTCTGGTCGTGACGAGGTCGAGGCCCAACCACTCATGCTATGCCGACTTGTAATATAATGGCGGTAAGATTCTCAAATCAGTTTTTGATGAGATTTATATGTGAGACATCTTTCAACCATGTAGTTTCCCTTCCCATGCATTTGTCCATTGTGATTTTGAATGATTTATGATGAAGTGAGGTCATCAGTAATCAATGAACGAAAATTCGGCCAACTTGAGGTCTAGGCGGAGGCGTTATCTTCCGAGGGGGTGCATCTAGGCACCTTCCTAGGTGCATCGACCAATTGAGACTGAGGGCGGAAAATACCCCTCGTCCATGTGGTAAAGTTGTCATTTCCCCCCCAAAAAGGGGTAAAAAGGTTTCGGGGGCCATTCTTTCCCCTAAAAAACTAGAGTGAGAAAAACCTTGAAAAAAGTAAGATTTGAAGGTTTATAGCGAGATCGAAATTTTTGTTCAACCTCCTCGAATGCTCACAAAATTAAATGATATTCATCCCCAATCTTTTTGAGCCTTGTAGTGGTTATAAAAGACGAGATTTGGGAAACAAAACTTTATGTTTTGGGACGATTTCTATTCCATTTCAAGAAGGTTGATATATTTCAATATTTTTTATTAGGTTATATATATATTTTTTCACAATGTCTTAGGATGTTATGCTTTGCTTTTTGTATTTTATTTTTGATACTTTATGATATATATTTGATATGCTATCGACAATTTTGATCATGATGCACCCCAAAAAAACTATTTGGATAATTTTCCAATTTTGATATTTAGTTTGGGTCTTTGGGAAAACAATTCAATGGACATTTTCCATTGTCCCCAAAGTGAATGAATATATATATTTTTTAATTTTATGCATGAGTTTACATGTATGATTCATAAACCATAACTTCTATCCCCATAGTTTTTTTATGAGTTAGTTTAACAATTGCTTATTGAATAATAATTTTATGTTTTATATCATTGCAATTTTGATGTGTAGGTTTTACCTTTATTTTTCTTTGCTTTGATCATGCTTGCTTTACTTCATCTCGGATTGTTAAGAACTCAAGATATTAAAGGGTAAGAATTCTTTCTATTTCATTTCCTATTTTTTAGATGGCCATTTTCCTTGGCACCGGAGACCATAACCCCCACATGCCCAGACCCAATCGGCCCAACATGGGCAGATGTACTTGGGCGGGCACCCAGCACTCAGTTCCGTGCGGGCGCCAAGGGCCATGGACGCTTTTTCATTTTTTTAGGTCTCCCAAAAGGGCAAAGGGGATCATTTTGACCCCCAAGATAGTACTAATATATTATGGGGTTTATTTTTGACCCCGAAAATTAAAAAAAACACCCTCAATCTCTATGCTAAACATATTTATGTGAGTCTAAAGTAATTTTTGAGAATCGAAAGTATTTTTTGTGGATTAAAAGAGTTTCCTTTTCTCATTAAAAATATTTTTAGGTTGCTATTGGAGGTATTAGAAGACTGTTGGGTTGATTAGTAGCTCGATTGAAGTAACCAACATCGAAGATCAGAGATTGGGCAAAATTTTTACAATAGGGCTCCCGCTTGGGCACTTGGTGCCACGTTGGCCACCTAGCGTTTTTTGAAACCTTGCTATTTTCTAATATTTTTTGGATGACTAATTTGAAATTTCAAATATTTAGACTAGTAGTTGTAAATTAATCTTGCTTTTGTGTATGTATTTGCAATTTTCACTTGTAAATGTTTTCAAGTTTGACTTTCTTGTTGTAACTATTTCATTTACAGTTTACGATCTAAAGTCATGTAGATTCATGTTTGATTTGTACTTCTGACCTCTGAACAATAAAACTGTTGAACAATATATTATATACGAAACTTATTTATTAAAAAAAAATGCCAATTCTATATACAATAAAAGGGAAGGGGGGGGGGGAGGTGTGGGGGTCCAACAATCCACAAGGATCTGCCCCTCCTCTCAATGCAGGCCGTCTTTTTGTCTAGGCGCCCGCCTTGGAGGCTGCATCCGCCTTCTTGAAAGCTTATGAGCCCCACCCATTAAACAAAAAACAAAAAAGAAAACACTCACACATACATATAGTGATAATTTAGAATTCAAAGCCTTTCAAACTACAAACGTTAATGTGTAGAATGAGTTGTTTAAGGGTGGATTTAGTACCCTATACGGTTTCCTTTACCAAAAACGTCACTGGGTGTGTTTGTATATGTGAGAGTGAGAGAAAGAGAGGGAGAGCCCATTGACAAGTTGTTGACGTGGATTTGTTGTGTGCTATGTTGCATGCTGCAGCATTCCAGGGCGTTACGAGTCATTTTGGAAGGAGATGGATGCTGTTAAGCAGTTGTGGAAGCGGAAGGATGAGCTGAGAGTCGAGGATGCCGGCATCGCTGCCTTATTTGGGTTGGAGTTATACGCATGGTTTTGTGTTGGAGAGATTGTTGGTAGAGGCTTCACTTTCACTGGCTACTATGTCTGAGGTTTGCACCAGGGTTTGCTCCCTTTCTGCAATTTATTTACACTTCTGAAATTTTGTACTTTCTATTTCTTCTTGTTAAGAAAAATAGGAGGAAAAAGATTGGGACCTGCCATCAGGATTAGACGAGTGTCAAAGCCTCAATAATTCCTCAGATTTGTTTTTTTGATGTCCTTTTTCCTCTTGAGTTTTACATGGGTTTTTCTGTTTTCATTTTGTCTTGAGCTCTTGCTCGTGGAAGGTTGCGGAACTAAATACAGAAACCCTGCTTCTCCTTATTTACTGAAATAACAAATTTTATCTCATTGTTTAGGTTTGTGTGTTCTAATGGCTTATACACTTGTATTGTTACTGACCCTTGATTATATGCCTTTGTTTAGAATGGTACCGAATAGTAAGCGTAAACTTTACGAATCATCATCATTTGAGCCTTATCCCGACTATTTGGGGTTTGGCTACTGAATAGTTTACAAGTGCAATATTATAAAAAATGAAAGTTGTTATATATTGTTGATAGAATCATTTATTTATGTGAATTGTCTGAATGATTTGAATCCACATATGTTGCATGTAATCTCCACCATTGCACTCAACGATAAATTGTAAGTTCTGAAGTGTTCTTTGCACACAACTCAGCCATTGGTCACCCGAGTATAACTGTTCATATAGGCCGTCGATCAAAAATTGCAGATTGTGGGGAGTGCATGCAGATTATGAGCATATGATAGAGTCCTTGAGTTGAAGAGGAAAAACGCAAAGAGTGCCCCATGACGAGAAGTAATAATTTTCAATGAAATATCTTGCAAGTACTCGTAAAATATTGATTATGAGCATATGACAAGGTTGGCTAGCAGAATATTGACATAGCTCTTTCTTCATTGTTAGAAATATATCCCTTGGGATTCACTTGCATTTTAAACCCAGCAATTTGGATTGCCCATCCGGATAGGAATTAGTAGGAACCAAACCAATTAGGGGATGGTATGGGTGCCATCCATATTCCCCATGGTGAAGCGTTTAAACCTGGTGATTTTTGTTCTAGATTGTCAATCTGGATAGGAATTGGTCGGGACCGAACCAGTTATGGGATGGTAGGGGTTCCATCTCTATTCCCCTTAAAATCCTCGTATATGGTTTTTTTATTTTATTTTTCTTGTCAAGATTAATTAATGTTTTTTTAGCTCCCTCTAAATCTCATATTGTAAACCTCTATTTTAATTTAAAATTTATTCATTTATTTTTTTAATATTTTTTGGATCGTCGATTTGGATTGATCTAGACCCTATCCAGATGATCAATCCGGTGATTGGACATGCATTTCTGGGTGAACGATCCGCCCTCCAATCTAGGCTTTGAAATATTGGTTTCATTGCAGCATGACCCCAACCCAACTTGGGCAAGGCTTGTGACAAGGTTTGTGACATTAAGTAAGATTCTTTTTAAAAATGGGTTGTTAAGGTGTTCACATTATGGAGTAATTTAACATTGTACTTAACAAAATTTGGATATTATGTATTTTTATTTTGTATATGGAGGTTTTTTAGTAAGGTTATTTTTGGTCATGAGGAGATGTATGATATCATGTGGGATGTGACATCACTCATATGAAACATAGTGGAGGACATTGTACCGTTCTTAATGATGTCACATCTCATGTGGATGACATCACATCTCTTTAATGATTAAAACTACTCTTATTGAAAAAACTATGTACAAACAGGGTTATATAAGTGTTCAAATTTTATTGAGTACAATGTTAAATTACTCCATAATGTGAGCACCCTAACATAGACTTGAAGCAAGTATGGAGTCTTGAGTATTTTATTTTTATTTTTTAAAAAAATTCTTAAAAATACCCATATGAAAAGAATTGTTGTTCCTTTTACGTGTTTGCAAATATTTTACTTCAATACCATGTGTTTTATTATGTGGTATCTTGATATTAAATAATAAGATATAGGTAGAGTGCTAAATTGTTCATCTCTTTTGAGTAATTTGATATGTATATATATATATTTTTATTACTAGAAAAAGTTTATATTATGTTGATACATTCAAATGTGGAATTAAGGTGCACTTCCAAAGCTTCGAACAAGTTTGTTTAATGTTGGAAAAAATATCTAATCAATCATCTCGACATCAAGATGTATATATATGAAGAAAATAATGAGATTTCAAGTTCTAAAAATAATACAACGGTTCATTTTAATGATTTTCATGCTTTTTAAGATTTGCTTGATTTGGACCATTTTCAGAGTTTAAAAATTTGATAGTTAACGATAAAAATAGGTTCTTGTAGCATCCTGAGTATCAAACATCTCATGACAAAGTTTGTTGGTGCGCATTAATTTAATTATTGAGGTTGCATCCTTATAGAAACCACCCTTTGCATTGGATCGTACAAATGAAATTTCCCCTCTAGTGTGGAACTTTGGGCGTCATGGAAACAAGCCGTCTAACTCAAATTTCATCACACCAAAATATTTGTTAAATGGATGATTTTATATCTTTTCGTACCTTGTTTTTGAACGGAAAATGTATACAATGAGACCATTTATTTTTGCGGTGTAGTTGGCATTCGGATGGATCCGTAGTTGTAAAGGTAAGGTGCACCTTCAAATTTTATCATGGTGTATAATTTTGATGTAAAATGTTCTTAGGATCATCTCAAAATCTATTGTTATATCTAATTATAAAATTTTAAATTTGAAAAATGGTTAAAATCAACAAGATTTATAAATATATAAAAATCTTGAAAATGGACGATGTAGATAATATGTTGTAAAATGCACTATTTTTGAGACTTAAAATCTTTTTATTTTTCATGTTCATACATCTCGATGTCGAGATGATCAATCAAAGGGTTTTTCAACATTAAGACTACCTTTTCTGATGGGTTTTTGAGGTGCATCCGTAGTTCTACATTATAAGGTTGCATCCTTATATAAACTTTTTCCTTATTTTTGATATAGGGAAGTCTTCATTATCATTGACTATCAGATTTTGAAATTGGGTGGTTGAGGATATGTCATTGTTCAGGTTCCAAAATAAAAATTTTAGAATGTTGAGATGCACTTTCATGTATTGAATTTCACTTCGAATGGGAAATTTTAGAATGTTGAGATGCACTTTCATGTATTGAATTTCACTGCGAATGGTTAAAAAAATGTTGAGATGCACTTTCATGTATTGCATTTCACTTTCTATGGTTAAAAATTGTTGACTTTCTTGTACAAAAAATAAATGATCTCTAGTATTCAATCTCTTTTAAACTTTCCCTCTAAAATGGAAAATTTGGCACGGACAGCGGACTCTTGTGGTCAAATTTTATGCAATTTGGAGAATTAATCCCCTTGAGAATTAGTAGGGGAAATTATATACGACACCCAAACTATGACCCCCACCATTAGGTCAAATTCCATGAAGCTTGTGAAATCCCAAAAATAAGAGATGGAGTTATGGCTGTTTACTTAGCATGATAGTTTTTTTTTTTTTGAGACACTATTACGAAATTTTATTACTCAAAGAATATTATAAACAGATTATACACAAATAAGCTAATCTACTACAGTTGTCTCATCCAAGGAGACCCCGAACTTTGCCAAACCATCCGCTATGTTGATGACATGTTTAAAAGAGATGGTTATTCCTCAACACAAGTCCACAACCTTAGCGCAAAGAGAGTAAAACCTTCAGGGTGGTTTTGCAACTTTGTTGCACCATTTGATAACATTATGCAAATCACCATCTACAAAAACTGAAAACCCTATTAGTTTCTCCCTAATACATTTCAAGCCATGTAAGATACTACGAAACTTAGCCTCATTTCATTTTACCATACCTCAAGGCCTTGTATAACAGAGAAGAACAACCCCATTTGAATTTCTCAAGAATCCTCCAAAACTAGCTGGTCCTGGATTTTCAAAACGGCTACCATCAAAATTTAGCTTTATACAACCTTATGTTGGAGGGTGCCACCTACCTTTAAGCTTAAGGGTAGATGGTAGGTGATCAACCAGAACATTTAAACCAGGTTTTTCAATTCAATAATGTGTTCATGAATCAAGATCATCTTTTAGGATATTTTATGTGTTGTCCAAAATCTGTAATAAAAAAATACATTTTGTTTCTTGGGAAATTTACCAAACGAATAAACATTAGATTTAAAACAAGGGTGCAGTTTGCATAAGGTGCACCTTAAATAATCAAATTAAGGCATACTCTCAAATCTCATCAGATGATGTTATTTTGGTGCGGAAACTTTTACTATTACCTGAAAATTTTTTCACTCAAATTGATGTATGTCGAGTATATTTATTATCATTTGAGAATCTTGAAAATAGACAGGATATTGTGTTACGACATGCATAAGACTTAAAATCCTTTTTTATTTTTTATTTTTTTTCATTTCCAACATTGGAGGTTGTGACAATTAATTAGAAACTTTTTCAACATTTAGAACAACTATATTCAAGAGTTTCTTGAGGTGCGCCTCACTTCTGTAGTATAAGTGCACTTTCTATAAAGGGATTATATACTACGAGACAATTTATTTTTAGTTCAAGGACGTCATAATTATTTTTAGTTCAAGAAGGTCATAAATATTTTTAGCCAATAGATGAATTTGTGTCACTAAATTCGAAAAAATTTGTTTTGGACTTTGTGTATATATAATGACCCATCCTCAACCATCCAATTTTAAATCTAAAAGTCAATAATGATTGTGACCTTTATGTATAAAAATTAATGGCATCATTATATATTTCCTTGAGAAAAACCAAACACGTTCGTATCACATTTCATATATTTTCTCATTCGTGATTTCATGCTCTCTCTCTCTCACGCACATACATTAATCTCTCTCTCTTACACACATTAAGGTTACATCAAGCTATTCAGGTATAAAACCGTTAGCAAATGAGCAAACCACCAACAATAAAAAGAGTTAGTAAACCTAGAGAAAATTAGTATCTTGAAAATTGATGAGAAGACAATTTAATATATCTGATGCCCCAACCTCATTTCCCTGAATTTTTTTCCCTTTCTCAAATTATATCTAGGTTACCATGATTATCTCTGTCATTGGAAAAGGATTTGTATGGTTTGAGGAAACATGGAGGCATGCATCTGTTATGATAGTGGGCTCTTTTTTTCCCCCTTCAAATGGTACCATTGGTCCGGGAGAGTGGGCTAGAAGGGCATGGAGGTTACCCTATGTACCATAGTCAAAGGTTTAGGGAAAAACTGGGTTGTTTTCTTGTTTGATTCAGAAAAAGATATTCGTAGGGTGCTCATCCAAAACATTGGAGGGTTAGAGGAAAACT